CCCATTTTCAAGTTTTGGAACTCATTGTTCAAATCAATCAGATCTATCTCTGAACAGTAGTGCACCCTTAATTGTTCCAAGAACTCCTCCCATGACATTTTCAGGGCTTCTCCTCGTGGCATAGTATCTGCCAACAACTTCCACCAGCTCAAGACTCCGGTCTTCAGTTGTCTAACTGCAAATACAGTCTTCTATTCGTTGCTACAGTCGCAACTTTCAAATACCATCTCCATTTCGAAGATGCAATTCATAATCTTAACAGGCTTTGGGCTTCCAGAAAGACTTGGCAGCTTGGTGCCCAATAAATTCTTATACATTCGCCCATCCTTGTTGTTTCCCCTTTCTGGGTCATTCGTTCGTTCTCCTTGAGTCCTAACTTGACTCACAATGCGACTATTGTTCCCTTCATCCGATTGATCGGGAATCAATTTAGGTTCCTCAATGGGCATGATAGGTTCGTCCCTATTATCATGCAAAATTTGTTGCATTTCTTCCCTTTGTTCAGCTAACATAGCCCGAATCATGGCTTGCACCCCATCCATTATCATTAGCTCTGGTGGTGCTGCTGCTACAGGTACTCGCTTAATCACATGTGGTTGATTCCTGTTTTCATATGCGCTTCCAATGCCACTTCTGGTTCTTACCATTTTTATCTATACACCGAAAAAGGTGAATTTAGATCCTCATTCACAATAGATATTAAAATCATCCTTATTACTAAAAAACGTTTACATGCTAGTTCTAATGCCGTAATCCTACGCTTAGAATCCTAAACAGATAAGGTCTCCAAATCTAGTTGGTAACAAACCGTAGATCTGAACAAATAATCTCATATATGCAATATATAATATTTAGCACATAAAGGAATTTTTGGCAACTTTCCTAAAATAAACTAGTTTTCATGTCTAAAATGCAACAGACACTTAATCCACAATCTTTACTTAGCATACTAAGTTTAAGTCTAGAAATCCTACAAATTCCTAGTTCACTTAAACTAAAATACATAAGCATTTGCATTTAAGAGAGTTTATCTAATCGAAAATATGTTCCTACCTTAGAGCAATATATTAGACAAGAACCATGCAATAAGGCCAGATAAAGAGTTCTTAGGCTGTTCAACTTAAATTACTCATGACCCTTAGGACATTCGCTCAATGATTTACCAATATTAAGACAATCCCAAATAAGTGATCCACATACAATAGACTATACTATCCTACTCGCGTAGTTAACATACTACAACACCTTTACCTTCTAATCATACAAGGACATATACTGCGACTTGAAGTATAGTGAGAAAACTCACACTGCAGTATAGTGAGAAAACTCAAATTGCAGAAACTCGGAAATCACAATTGCATTCCAATAAATGTAAAAGCCAATTTCATGAACCACCTATAACTCAAATTGCAAAAACCCAAAAATCACAATTTCATGCCAATAAATGTAAAGCCGGTCTCATGAACCTCCTAGACATTAGATAAAGGTCAAACCTTAGTCCACAACCAAAACCCTAAAGTTTGACCTAAAGTTAGACACGATCAAAAGGTCAAAAGTTAAAATCCTCGTCAAAAGGCACCCCGCATCCCATTTTGGGTGCCTAACGCCCACTACAAGACAACATAGTCGGGTTTCGAACAATTCAAATGCACATTAGGAAAACTCAGATGTACTCTGGCGCCCAGCAAAAGACGTGACACGTCTTTCCAGATTCAGCAAGCGTTTTCGAGTAAATCCATTAAATCTAAGCCTCCAACTTCTAGATCTGGATCTAAATGATGTCTAAATGGATCAGGCCTCAAACTTTATTTATTAAGATTCCCCAAATAAACTAGATCTAAAACCCTAAGTAAACAAATGTCCAAAACCTCATTTGTATTTATATGTGTAATAAAGAGAGCTCTTGCATGCACTCTCTTATCATCTTTACCATCCGTTCTCTTCCTTTTCTTTACCTTGAGTTTTGTTGAATTTTTAGCTTAACAACATGTAACCTTGTTATGTCCTACTTGCTTGTATACACTACACACAATTTTTTTCCCAACCTTTGACACAATGTGACTTGCACCCCTTTCACTTACATCCTTTCTTCTATTAACTTTAGGTTTACCTAGAATTTTTCTCTTTAATGGTGACAAAGGTTATATGAATTCAGTAGCTGGCCACATATTACTACCATTCATCCCATGCACTAGATACTTGTAACTGTTCCTGTAAAATGCTCTATAGTACATTAGATCCACATAACTCCTAGCATCTTTATTTTTGTATGAGATAGTTGAAACTAAATGCACACAACCATACCCATTTAGTTGCCACACTCATATATGAACATGTCTTCTTATCTAGATCCACAACATAGGACTTTGCCAATTTTCTTGTTTCAAACTGGTTTAAACCAGTTGGTAAAACCTACCAATACTTGTTTAAATTATATTGAAGTTAGTATATAGTATAAGTAATCAATTAAAATTTAAAATTAAAGTTAATACCTTTGAGCTCTTTTCAACTGATTCGGTAAGATTGTAATAACTAGACATGGTTTATAATCAGGCCATGAACAACCTTTGATGGTCATATTGAATTTCCGCTCCATAACATACAACCTAATTTCTTCTAACATTATGATTATTTGTTTTTTTTTCTTGTATCTCTATTGACATTGTTAAATCTCTCAAATAATCCATTTTCAATTGCATTGTTGAAAGAAAGCTCTACACCATGATTTTGGGTTCTTTCCCATAAGGTAATTAAATTTTGTAGGATTAAGGAGTTTGATTTCCTTCATGGTTGCATTGAATAAAGGCTCAATGGATGCCTTGCATGCCTTCCAAAACATGCTCTCATAATATACATCACTGAATATTTTCTTGAAGTTAGCAACAATAGGCCTTGCACAATGTCTGTGTTAAGTAGTAGGCAATACCTCCTTCATAGCCTCCAATAACCCTTACACAATTTAAGGTCATCTGTTAAGATAATACAAAGTCATTAAGAAATTACATTAAGTTGTATAGTAAGTGACATACCTTATGTTGATTTGACATCAGGGTATAACCAAAACCATTTGCCATATCTAGGTCATCTTTAAGATTCTCCAAAAACCATTTCCAATTTTCTATATTTTCCACACAAACAACTGCCCATGCTATTGGAAAAATATGATTGTTAACATCCTTCCTACGACAAATATCAACTCTCCACTACATAACCCTTCTAAGAAACAACCATCCATATTTATTACTCTTCTACAACTTCCTTTCCAACCTTGCTTCACCCCCTTAAAACATATATAAAACTTACTAAAATATATCATCCCATCAGGCATACTGTTGACATCGATTGTTGATCCTGGGTTGGATCTCCTTATCTCCTCACCGTATGACCAAAGCTTGACATAGTGCTCAACTAGTGTGCCTTCAATTAGTTCAATTGTATATTTCTTTGCTCTCCTACACTGTCTCATACTCATTTTTGTTTTTGTAAGAGTTGTGTTGTGAAATGGATACCAATCCATGCATAGTTAACAATTGACCCTATTTTGAAATTCTTGCACAATTATGCTTATCTATAAGAGACCTAACCTGGAAAGAGTTTTCTTCACTTATCTATGAAGACCACAGTCTAAACTGGCACTGCCTTGAACAACATTTAACTAAAACTCTCATATTGTCATTTTTTTTGTAGCACAATTTATAAACTTTAGCAACAACATAATTTACACAACATATGCTTTAACTGTTTAGGACTTTCAAATCTCATTCCTAACACATGCTTTTTCTTTTTCCAATGAACATTTCATTAAAAGTTGTTACCTCATCAAGTATTGGCTCGTTGTTATCCATCTGAGCATATGGATCCTCATGAGGTGGATCATCTGGGGTTGGCTACTCCTTGGGGCAGAGCTTGTTCAAAACCACATCATTCAAGGTCTTGTTCATTGGAATGCAATAAAGATTTGCAGTGTTATTGTCCAAATTACCTTGCACTTGCACTTCATCTAGTTCAATGCCAACTTCTGTCTCAGCATGCAAATCTTCTATTACTTCACCTATAGTAGAAAACTTGTCCTCGGGAATACATACTCCAACTTGCTCATCAAGAATCCATTGATGGACATTGATACCAAGATGATCCATGTACATAGAAATTACACAACCAGAAGCATACCCTACTTCAATTAACTCCTGGTAGTCTTTTTCAGTTGCTATTATCCTCAGTCCATCAGGAAACTCAATATCAGGCATGCAAAAGTACACATTAACGCATGTCTTGTTTGCGAATCTTTGAAGAAACAACACAAATTCGTTATTGTCCATTCTAGCAAAATCGACATCCTCAAACCTCTGCTCCGCTCCATCTGAGTAATTGATCACTAGGTACCTCCTAAACATACCAGTAAAATAAAGATTTATCTTCATGTACACGGCCATAGCAAGATCCAAATGGAGAGTTTTTGCGTGGAACAGTAGAAAAAAATAGAAGGGGCCGAAGAAAGCGACTGTAGAAGGATGTAGCTTCTAGAGGAATGGTTACGTAGCTCGTTTAACAATACATTAGGTGGCATCTTAATTGACATATGAGTTTGCATTTTTTTTAATGACATGTATAATAAAACCGGTTGATTATGAAGGGGCTCACCGGGTGACCCCTTCACTTTCTAGAAAGTGACTTTAAAAGTAGGTAAAATATGAATTTATACCCTTAGAAAGCTAAAAAAAATGAATGTTCTAGACAAATCTCTTAGACAAAATTGCAAAAATGGTCCCTGTGGTTGGCAAAATTCTGCAGTTTTGGTCCAAAAAAGTTTGGTGGTGCATCAATGGTCCAATTTTGGATATTTTTAGTGTTTTTGGTCCCTATACACTTAAAATGACTATTATGCCCTTTAGATTTGTATTTTCTATTTTTTTTAATGTTTTTAAATAATTAAAGATACAAAAAGTCTCTCTCTCTCTCTCTCTCTCTCTCTCTCTCTCTCTCTCAAGAATACCCACCAGATGCCACCCTCTCAAGAACTCCCAACATATCCCACCATCGTTCACCACCAAGATCCATCTGCTACCAACGACGTTCACCACCACCATTTGTCTGCCATCATCGCCATTTACCACCACCATCCGCCTGCCACCGTCGTTGTTTTCCACCATTCGCTTAAGAACACACCAAAAATTTTTCTTTATCTCTCTCCTGCCACTATCTCCATTCCCCAACACCATTCACCGCCAACCACCTCTATCTCCCCCACCCCCACCTCTCCTTCCTTAACCTGATAAGCTTTCACCACTAACCACCAAACCACCCCCAGATCTTGCCAGAAAAATCAAACCAAAAGCTTGGTCATGCTCTGCTAACTTCTCACCATCCACAAAGACCCGAAAAATCAAAAAATCGATGTATTTAAAGAAGAAGGTGAGTGTTGAATGTGGCTTGATGTTGATTTTCTTATCGAATAGTCAATGTGGAAGAAGGTGGATTGAAGGGAACATATGAGGTCGATGGTGGCGGCGCATCCAACAGCCTCCCAAATTAGCCAACAATCACTACCATAAACACTCCTCCACCCCTTTCTTGATCACACGAAAATAACCACCAATCACCTCCAAAATTAGCCACCGATCACCACCATAAATTTGACTTAACGTCTCTATTTAGAACAAAGAAAAAGAAATGGGAGGTAGGCGTCGATCAACTGTGAAAAACTAGAGATGTGGGGTGAACCAAGGTAATATAGGGCAAGAAAAAACCCAACCTCTCTGATCACCTTCTTTGTCTTCATATTTTGAGATAATTTCCAAACCCCGACCCTTCATGTTCGTCTCCTTCTTCTTTAGAATAAAAAACTGTGGAGATTTGGGGTTTTTTGTTACAGGTGTTCAGATGTAACGGTGGGACGATGGTCGTTGAAGAAACAGATGTGAAGGGTGGTTATTGGTGGTGCGAAGGAGAAGCATGGGACGATGAAGCCTGCAATATTGATCCGGTAGAGAACACGTTCAAGAACGAGTTGGGTTTCTTTTTGATCGGGAGGATCAGAGAGAGAGAGAGAGAGAGAGAGAGAGAGAGAGAGAGAGAGAGAGAGAGAGAGTGTGTGTGTGTTTGTGTGTGTGAGAGTGGTGGGTTTATTTTATTTTTGTTTTTCATTTTATTATAAGAATAAGAAAATAAATAAAAGAAATTAAAATATAATTATTTAAGGGGCATATTAGTCATTTTAGGTGGGATGTGGACCAAAAACACAAGAAAATACAACCATAGGGACCAGAACCACACAATGTATCTAAAATTGGACCAGTGGTGTACCAACATTTCGTTTTGGATCAAAAACACATAAATTTGCCAACCACAGGGACCATTTTGGCAATTTTGTCAATCTCTTATAAAGATTGAGCTTTAGGTTTTACCGTCGGGATTGGGCCAAAGGCCTGTCACAGACCGTGCCTGTTTACTATATAGAAGGCAGAGACCATGCTAAGAGCAGCTTGGGATCAATTAAGTTGTTCATTATTTGTTTTAGTTGTGTGATCCGATATGTTCAGTTGATGACGATAGCCATAACAACTTCTTGTTATATGTATACAAATACTCCAATACTCCAACTATACGCCGATATGGCTATTATTATACTGAGCTATGCACTTTTAGATATTAAAAGTATTTAATAGAGGTATAGTTTTTGGTAAAACAGGTTCTTTAACCATCTAATTCAATAGTCTAATCATTAGGTAGAATTTGATTCACTATTTTTGCTCTCATCTTCTTCTATTTTCTCCTGAAGCATTGAACACTTAATTACCAAATTGAATACTACCAAATTTAATTAATATACTAGACAAACTTTAATTATTATAACCGACAAAAAATGAACCAATTAGAACACCTATAATCAGTATTAGCAGCCTAATATTGCCTAATAAATTTGAGTCCACTGATTTTTGAGTGAGGTTTTGAACGAATATGGTTTTGTAATTAGATTTAAATATGATTTTTGAAGAAGTTCCAAATGTATGAGGATATACCTGCCATTTTTAACTATTAATTATTTATCATAAAAATAATCAGTATATAATAAATAAGTAGAATATCGATATGAAAAAAGCGATTATTAATATAGATATTTGATTATCTTATATGACTATATGTATACCTAGCTATAACGATTTTATTCAGATAACAGCAAAACAACCTATTCTTCATGGATTTTTCCCTTTTCACACCCATAATAAAATAATAAAAAGTAAACATATTAATAAATAATGATAATCCCACTTGCTAAAATACAAAGAGAAAAAACTGTACACGAACAACTCCTCGTTATAAGCAGAGATCACGTCTCTTACTCCACAAACACATCATCCTTTCAAATTCTACAATATCTCTACTTATTCTTATAAACCTTTTTCCAATTCCATTGCAACAAACTTCTTCTTCTGTCTATCTATCTCCATAATCTCAGGAACAATCAAAATCAAAAGCTTGTGATCTTCATAAAGATTTCAAGAACACTCTGTTCCATGGTACGTCTCAGTTCATAGATTTCCTATTTTTTGTTTCAATAAATTCTTGTCTTTTTATGATTAATTGAGTTTTTCTTTTTTCGGATTTTGATGTTTGATCATCATTAGGCGACTGAAGCTTCAGATTTCAAATACGAAGAGGTAATACTCAATAATTTTGATTCTTTAACGTGCTCTGTTTCCTGGTTTTGTTTATGAACATGCATGAACTGAAGAACGTATTTAATTTAAAATCATCTTGCTGTGATATTTTTCAGGAATATATCGTGAATTCGAAAGGATTGCAGATATTTACGTGTCGATGGCTTCCTATTGACACTGAACCAAAAGCTTTGATCTTTCTTAATCATGGCTACGCCATGGAATGCAGTGTCTCCATGAAAGGTCAGTTGACTTTCTTCTTAAATCAATATTATGGTATATGTTTTTTTTACTTCATTCTTCAAAATCGATACCCATAATAAACTTAGTGAGCATCTATCGAAATACAATCATTATGAGTTCCAAAATCGATGATGCGTTGATCGATTTTGAAGTTGAAATTCACTAGGTTTGACTTACTTTCCTCTATATATTAATTGGATTCAAATTAAATCTCAATAGGAGCTGCTTTAAGGCTTGTGAAAGCGGGATTTGCAGTTTATGGGATTGATAATCAAGGACATGGGAAATCTTCTGGGCTTCAGGGTTATATCCCATCTTTTGATGATCTTGTAAACGATTGTTCGGATTTTTTCACAAGCGTTTGTGGTAAGTTCTTATGTTATCTTTTTTGTTAAAACAATTCTAGACTTCTAGTTAATTAAATTCAACTCAAAATATTGAATTTTCGATATTGACCTAGTCAATCAAATTGAGTTGAAAAAGGGTTTTGAATTGCTTTCTTGTTTTATAGGATACCTATGAACATATACGATTATGAGAGTAGAAATAGTGCATCTTGACCGACTTCACTGATTATTTTATTTTGAATTTATATTTGAAATAAATATGTTAATTAATGGGTAATTTTTATTTCTTTCAGAAAGGAAAGAAAATAAAAGAAAGATGAGAATATTGCTTGGAGAATCGATGGGAGGGGGAATGGTTCTCCGATTACATAGGAAGAACCCAGAGTATTGGGATGGTGGAGTCTTGGTCGCACCCATGTGTAAGGTATGTGCTACTTTTTCTATCTTTTTTATTCAAAAATGACAACTATCAACAATAAATATATATATATATATATATATATATATATATATATATATATATATATATATATATATATATATATATATATATATATATATATAAAATCAAGTGTAAACTAAATATAATAAGAGAACATTAGAACTAATATTATAGCATCTCCAAAGATGATGAGTTTTTTTATAGCTTATTACTATTTATTTAAGTGTTCAAAATAATTAGGGGTGTTTGGATAGGAAAAAAAAAGGTGTTTATTGCTTATTCCCACAATAAACTAATTTAAGTGTTTGGATAAAATCCAGCTTATTAGGCTAAATAAACTAATTTTAATAAGCATTCCTCCCCATGCTTAATGCTTATTGCTTATTGCTTATTCCCACCACAAATAAGCTAAAAATCTAATCCAAACACCCTCTTAAACAAAATTGGAATGCATGATTTATTTGTTTATTTTTTTGACCACTTAATATACATTAAATGGTCAATCTAGTTTAAAGGTTTAAACAATCAACCTCTTTCTCTTTAAAGATATTTTATTTTCTACCTTTGATTTACTTTGATTTATTTATTATTTATTTAAAATTTATAGATAAACAAATATATAATATATAAATATAAATTATAGTAATATATATGTGAATTAATGGTTATATTAAAATATGATGTGTTTAAAATAGGATTAGTTAAACGGGAGGGTTTTATATAATATTTTATATATATAAGGATAAAATAGGTAAATGATATAAAAAAAAAGTCATAAAAAAGTTGAAGCATTGGAGAAACAATTTAATTAGAAGTCAATAAAAATAAAATAGTGAAGTGATAATATTTTTGACATATGATATAGGTTTACCATTAGAAGCATGGTATATGAACAATCAAGGATGGTTATTAATTCATGATTAATATTAAGAGACAGTTAATACTTTCTAAAAATATAACCTTCTATTTTTTGATAAGATTTTATTGAATAACCAGTTAGAACTGATGATGCTCTTGATTAAATATAATGTTCTCACGCTATATTTGGTTCACGAAAGAGACACTATTTATAATACTGTTTATCATTCTTAGTAGTTTGCAATTAGTTCATTATTTCGTTTTAATGTAACTTTATTTTACATATTTTTTTAAGATATTACTTATAAAATAATATAATTTATGCACGATTTTTCAATGTTTGTGGTCAACTAGAATGTCACATGCGCGTTACTATGAATGATGAAAAGAGTTCATGGTCAAATAGAATGTATTAAATGTGAAAAGTCAAATATCATCTTGAAGGTTCTGAAGTTGTCAATTTCATGTTTAATCCTCTTAATTATCTCCTGTATTTATTCCGTAAACTGAGTGGCATCCAAGATAAAAGTCCTTAAACATATATCTTAAAAAGTACCACTTTTTAATCATGAGATTTCTATAATAACAATAAAAAAAGTGTAAAAAAAAAAAAGTATCTTACACCTCATCTTTGTGTACCACTTTTTTCTAAAAAAAAATACCGCTTTATGTATTTTTTTAGTATATCTTAAAAAGTACTACTATAACTTTTGAAAAAATTTCATGATTGATTTGAAATCTAACAACCATAACTTGTGAACAATTTCATTATTGATTTGAAATCTAACTATAACTTTTGAAAAATTGTCTTATAATTAATTTAGTTTGTTAATTCTTAAAAATTGATAATTATTTATATTTTGACTATTTTATATGATAAATCGGTCCAATAGAAAATAAGGATTTTGATTAATTTTTTATATATATATATATATATATATATATATATATATATATATATATATAAAATTAAATTTTTATATTATCTAATTATATTTATTCTATGTAACGAATTGTATTATCTTACTTTAATATATTGTGTTAACAGGGATCATTTTACCTAGGTGATCATACGATATTAGGATTAGAATCATGATTTTAATAACCTTGATATCATTTGTTTAAAAAAGATATTTTTCTAAAGATAATCTTTTTTACTTTTAAATTTTTATGTTTATTTTAAAAAGAACATCGTAAGATAATAATAGAGAAATAAAATAAGATACATTAAGGATATACTAATATAATAAGGTACTCTTATAAAAATTATAAATAATATATTATTTTTTTTTAAAAAAAAATCCTTATATTTTGATTATATGTGCAAAATGTCCTTATATTTTGTTAGTGACCAATTCAACATGTAAAAGGGTAAAAAAAATGCAAGCACTTGAAGGTAATTGAGACTTAATTGAATATATATATATATATAAAAGAACTAAATTGATTATGATGCCAAAATGAAAGGAATTTTTTTTTGAAGATTTTCCTTTGAAAAACAAGCAGATTTAACATATATTAAGGTTAAAATGATCACACCAACAAGAACGCTCAAGATATATTTTTAACATTGAAACTAATACCACAAGAAGTACCTAATTTTCAAATTTTATACCTATTTTTTTTTATTTGTTTAATTTCTCAGATTGCAGACGACATCAAGCCCCCTCAATTCGTAATTAACGTGCTAACAAAACTTACAAAAATAATTCCAACATGGAAGATTGTACCCGGTAAAGATATTATCGACGTTGCTTTTAGAGATCCTAAAATCAGGGAAGAGGTATGAATTTTTTTTCTTTGTACATTTGCTTTATTATAAAGGTTTTATACATTTATGATTTACTTATATGCATCTTTGTGTGACACATAGGTTCGTAATAACCCGTTATGCTACAAAGGGCGATTTCGTCTAAAGACCGCCAATGAGCTGCTAAATGTTAGTTTAGACCTTGAAAATAGACTCCAAGAGGTATGTTAGTTGTTGTATTTCTACTTTTTATACAGAATTATCAAGTATGAAAGTGCTTTTGTTATCAAGTATGAAAGTGCTTTTTTTTTTATTTAAGTGTTGGTTGAATAAAATGATCTTTAAAAATGTTTTGGATATATAGTTCAATACATATTGATTGAAGGCAAACGGGCAACAAGTTAGCATGATTCATTTCATAAGTTTTTCTATTAAAACATTCTTACTGTATTAAATTAAAACAATTTATATGTTGCTACCACATTAAGTGATGTGTTTATCAAGTAAAAAAGAACAAGATCTAAAAGATTTACAAGAAAATTAAAATTCCTTTGTAGAATATCATTTTACGAGATATTTTATTTTACTAAGACCACCATATACAAATCCTATTAGTATTTAGTAACATATTTTACTGAATCAGGTAACATTTCCATTTTTTGTTGGTCATGGAGAAGCAGACACAGTGACTGATCCATCAGTAAGCAAGCTTTTATACGAAACAGCTTCTAGCTACGAAAAGACATTTAAGTTGTATCCAGGAATGTGGCATGCTCTTACATATGGAGAGTTTCCTGAAAACACAGATACAGTATTTGCAGATATTATTGGCTGGATTGATGAGAGAATTTCAAATGGTAACTCTAGATTGGAGAGAGAACAAAAACATGCAAATGATGAATTTGATAGCTCAAGCAAAACAAGTGTCCTAAATTAACCACGAAAATATCATACTTCAAATTTATCCTTCTCAAGCTCTAATTTGTATACAAAAACATGTTATTACAAAAAAGGTTTGATATTATTTTTTATAATAATTCTTTTTATTTCTTATGTCATGTCAATACATACTATTTATACCAATATTGATGAGATATGAAATGTGGTCCTAATGCGACGAACAAGTTCTGTAAGAAGTCTTCGAATAACAATATGCAATGACAAAAGATATTAATTTGATTGTTTATAACGGTGTTATTTGGTTGTTTTTTTATTTTTAATTTTGGTTAAAACAATTCAGTTTTTTCGGTTTTTTATATCGTAAATCTAACCATAACTAAACTAAATAAGATTTGGTTTAATCGATTTTTGTTTATTTGATTCGATCTACCACATAAACTGAATAAAATTCCTTATTTAAAAATAAAGATTAAACTATAAAAAAAACATTACTAAATTTTTACCAAAAGATAAAAATACACTAATATATAATATATTGTATTTGGTCATTCATCGTGCATTCTCCACAACTGATGCGAATGCAAGAGTTTTGACATAGTTTAATATAACTTTAGTGGTATATAAGAATGAAAGAAAAGACCTAAGATCAATTGACATTTTGTTTGTTGATGCTTTTGAGCACAAAATATAAAAGAAAAATTAGAAATTAGAAATTTATAATGGTTAAGAATTAAAGAATAAAAATCTTTTGTAGTAACTAATCTATAATTTAAATATAAAATGTTAATTCAGATATATCAACTATAAAAATATATAATAGTTAAATTATTTATTTGATTTATTTTAGTTTAACCAAAATAATAAAAATTTAACGAAACGAAACCATACAAAATTATTTAGTTCACCAAAACCGAATTAATAGAAAACCAAATAATCCGAATCAAATAAAATAAACACCTTTTGGTTTGGTATAATTATTTACTTTCTGTTTTTTATCACACTGTTAACACATTATCGCGGGTGTATTAAAAAATAAAATTTTACTGCTAGTTGCACTAATAATAAAGCATAGGAAAATAGGGTTAAATTCTCAAGGACACAATCTAACAGTCAATGTTTTTTTGCATCAGATACATTCTAGTTAATAAAATATAAATTATAAAAGAAGATTTTTAATTAAAATAAAAACTAAAAATTAGCAGCGAAAATAAATGAAATAAAATAAAACTCAGTAATAAAAACGATATCAATTCTGCTGCGACTTTCCTTATCATGCAACCAGCCGGATCTGGTTATTCATAATGCGTTCGATCTAAGCTGGTACTGGAAAAAACTAACAAGCTCTAGGATAATCTCTTTTGCCTAATTAGTTAACCAAAACAAGCTTTTTAAATTAACCATAACTTTTTATTGTTCAATTAAACAAACTCTTAATTAAATCAGCAAAGTAGCTTTATGATCTACATAAAATTCTCAACTATACCCAATACTTCTCACAAGATAAAAAACATAAATATATGATTTTTACAGTTTATATTAGAGTTAAATCTCAAACACAGAACCAATATGATATTTGTTACTTATTATCAGTTTACAAGAACAATTACAAATTCTATTAACTGATTAACTAGAATGATAAAAACCCTAGGTAGGTGATCAAAATAAAAGACTTAAAAAATCAAACTTTCATCAAGCTCAAAACTGAAAAATCTAGATAGAAACATAAGTCAAAAACCAGATCTGAAAACTAATCATATGAAAATTTTAGTCTAATGCATAAATAAAAATTAGGGTTTTAGCCAGGCATGGCTAAAGATGAATCTAAGCTACTAAAAAGAAAAACAAACTGAATAATCTTCTAAACTAAGTGTAGGAGATGACTCACAGTCTTCAAATCTTCAGAAATTGTCTTTAGAAGTGTCATATGTCGTCTGGAACCGTCGAACCTCGAATCTGATTATGAGGGTCATATTTATAAGCAAGACAGAAGCATCCGAAACAAGTTGGCAGAAAATGAGATCACAAAAATTGAATTTTTTTTTCCAGATTTATCCTTAAATGATGTATGATGTTATTTTAAAAAAATTTGGAGCTGCGGGACAAAAATGCAATTACAAATATGATATATACGATTGCAGAAATTGAAATTTATTCTCAGATGACTTTATTTGACCCTGGAAAACTTCGACCCATTTATGCGATCACAGAAGTGAAAAATACGATCTTGTTTTTGGATTTTTGGCATATTTTGCTCCCGTTTCTTCAGTTTAAGTAAACATGAAAGTAGTCTGAAATTTTGTCTAGTTTTCGGAATATTTTGAATCTCGTCAATCGAAGTTATGAGTCGTGAGATATTGTCAAAATACTAACAGGGGGTAAAGCTGTCAGCAACATCCTTTTGGCTTTAGATTATAGCAATCTATCTTTGTAAAATAAATTAGATCGAATGTTTCTTGAATAAAAATACCTTCTAAGTATTCCTTAGAATCCCCCTTCAGTTCCAACTTTATTTAGGTTCCAAATATGCATCCAGCTGCTCCTAAAATACCGCTACATTCAAAATATCTAAAAATGACACAAAAAATGCTAACAATACGAGAATTCTAACGAATGTCATGAGTTGAACATTATTTAAAGAAATGACATGCAAATGTACAATATATGATGTTAAATTCTAATAAAAACTACCCTAAATGATGCATAAAATAACATCTATCAAATATCTCCAAGCTTGAACCTTACTTGCCCTCAAATAATAAAAAGATTAAATATTGTAAACAAATGGAAAGATATAGATGACCCAAAAAGAACTTAGAATAAAATAAAATAAATAACTTGAACTAAAAATACTTCACTCTCTTTCTTTCACATGATCAGATTTCACGAGGAAGCTCCAATGAAATAACTACCTAGACAACAATCTCAATTGTAACATCCATGAAATTGACGAAAATTTAAAGCTTTTTCAAGCATTCAAAAACCAGTACTTATTACAAAATGTTTCAAAATAGTTTCATATCAGAGTATCCCATAAACAAAATAATAAAAATGCAAGGAGGTGCACGATCACGCCTTTGCCTTCCTGCGATCATCCGAAGTACCTGAAACAAAATCCAAAACTGTAAGCCCGAAGCTTAGTGAGTTCCCCCAAAATACTGATACATAACAAATAACACACATATTAACATCATGTAATGGGTCCACATCTCTACAGACTGGATTACCCCTGAGCCCACAGTGTGATACTGGCTTACCATTCGGGCCCACAACTCACATCTGGCTTGCTCTTGAGCCTACAACATACATCTGGTTTGCTCTCAAGCCCACATCTTATAACTGGCTTTCCCCTTCATCCCTAAGACTGGAATATAACTGATTAACCCTCAGTACGAGTCTGGTATGCTCCTTGGCCCTCAGCTCACATCTAGAATGCCTAAGAGTCCTCAGTATGAGGCTGGCATGCTCTCACAGCCCTCATCTCATATCTGGCATACTTTAGGGTTTGCTGGTCACCGAACGAAGCAGTGCAACCTCAACCCTACCTACACATACTAATAATCAGACTTATGAGCCTCCTCCAGAACCATCTGTCTGACCATACTAATAATCAAATAGTAACAGGTAAATAATCAAACAGTAACGCAAGACCATCTTAGGACTGAGGGGGGAAAGCCAGTCATAAACAGTAGGCTCGAGAGCAAACCAGACATATGTTGTGGGCTCGTGAGCAAGCCATATGTGAGTCGTAGGCCCAAAAGGCAAGCTAGCATCACACTGTAGGCTTAGGGGTAATCCAGTATGTAGAGTTGTGGAACCATTGCATGCTATTATTATATGTGCTATTTGTTATGTATCAGTATTTTAGGGGAACTCACTAAGCTTCGGGCTTACACATTTGGATTTTGTTTCAGGTAGTTCGGATGATTGTACGAAGGCGAAGGCATGATCGTTCACCTTCTCGTGTTTTTATGATTTTGTTTCTGGGATACTTTGTTATGAAACTATTTTGAATTTTTTTTAATAAGTATTGGTGTTTAAATGCTTGAAAAAGTTCTAAATTTTCTTGAATTTTATGGATGTTACAAGTTGGTATCAGAGCCTTGGTTTGAGTGAGTTTGAGGAACACTGTGTGAATCCAGTCTCAAACCAAGGAAAAGATTTTCAACTGGTTTTCAAAATACTAAAGGAGGATGCCAAAGTGTACGATCAGCCAGGGCCAGTAAGTAAACCCCAAAATACCATACGAATATTTAATATTATGATATGTTAGAGCAACAGGCTAGTGATAGGCTAGGGACCTTCAAGAAATGCATGATAGAATTGCCTGATTATGTGATGCCTGATAGGGTTTTCTTTATGTGAAATTGGCATCATTATTGCAGTTGCTTAGTGTATGCATCATAGTTGTACATAATTAAGATCTTATAGCCTGAGAATGTTTGGTTTGGCCTTATTTCCTGTTCTTGTTTGATGAAGGGCTTGGGGTAGGATTAGATATTCAAAAGTCTATAGGGTCCAACATTATGTATGATTAACATATACAAGTACTGCAGGGTTGGTGAAATTTTCATGGATGAGTTGTCCGGGATCAGTTAGCTAGTTATGAGATATTCCGCCTTCATCTAGGAGTGAGGATTTTGGGGTCGCCTATGTTTATGTATATTGTTAGGGAATTATTGTGATACTTGATACAAATATAGGTAGGCATGGAAGGTAGTATGGGCCCATACTACTAACAGTACAGGACCTATACGCGAATCAATGAACTCACAACCCCTAGAGCTTTATTGGGAGTTGGTTCCCTGTTATTATATAGGATGTTTGATATCTTCTTGATATATTTTCAACATGGTGGTTATGCGGAGATTTGTAATTGGATCAAGGTTAGGATCAAGAGAGGGCGGTCCGGATAGACAAGCAGTGCCCGAGACCATTGGCCAGATGAGCTAGATTCCAGGATTCATGAGATGTTGCATGATAATGTAGCTACACTTTTCCAGGCCGAGTTGCCAGAGATGTTTGGGTCTATTAA